AGTGGTGCCTGTCCCAGCCCTGCCTGCACGGAGGGCTCTGTGTGGACCTCTGGGCCACCTTCAGGTGTGACTGTGCCAGGCCCTATGGAGGCCCAGCTTGCTCGTATGGTAAGTGTCATGGGATTGACACCTGCCAGCTCCACAGGTACTGGAGGAGCTTGGATGTCAGCTCTGGAAACAGGACTTTCTGTTTGACCAGGGGGAAAAATAAAGCAAAAGCCTCTGTGGATTTTTTTTCCTGTTGTTTTCTCCTGCACAAATGACTGTCAGTTTTGTGGTGCAGGTTATTCCTGGTAGAGCCAGAGGCTCTGCATCAGCTTTTAACAGATCTGTGTCAATGCAGGGGAGCAGGGAAGTTGTTTTACTGTGAAAAGTTGATATTGAGCTTCTGAGTTGAGGATGAATAGGAATATATTGCTTTGTTGAAGGAAGCTCTTTGACAATTTTGAGTTAAAATCATATCTATTTGCATTTTTTGGTCCTGTAAGGCTTGTATTAGTATTGGAGCTTTTTTCAACTCTTCTGAGCCCTAAGTATGACATGTACTGCTGTTACCAAATTTACAAATTTTAAAAGCAACTCTGTATCTCGAAAGTCCTTGAGTAAATTTGCTGGATTGGCAAGGGCTCTGCTAGACTTGTGTTTCACTCTCATGCTACTTGGATACTTGAATTTGTGTCCTCCAGAGGAAGCAAGGACACGTCCACCTTCTTCTTAGTGTCACACACCTGTGGGGAGGAGCATCATTACCCTGGCACATGTGGAAAACATTGAAAGGGACCTTTGCCCCATTCCTAAGGAGCTGCATCCCCATGCCGGCTGCATTCCCTTTATCTCTGAGCTGAAGTTTGTTTCTGTTCTCTTCCAGAGCGCCCAGCAGCAACGTTTGGCCTAGAGAATTCCACCAGCTTTGCCTCCTTCACCCTTTCTGACAGCCTTGGGGCAGACTTCAACCTCTCGTTTTTCCTGCGGAGCCGGAAGCCCGATGGTTTGTTGGTGCAGGCCTGCAATGGGACAGGGCCCTGCCTCACCCTGTACCTGAGGGACGGCCAGCTGAGCATAGAGACGTCCCCTGCGGACACTGTGACCCTTCCAGGGAATGTGGTGGATGGGAGCAGACGTTTGATAGCCCTGTCCTTCCAGGGAGGCTCTGTGGGTGCCCTGCAGTCAGACACGCTGCTGGAGCTGGGGCAGCTGCCAGCACAGGCCCTGGGAGCTGGCTCTGAGCTGTTCATTGGGGGGCACCCCAACCCCGACAGTGCCGAGCTCTGGGGGGGCTACTTCAAGGGCTGCTTGCAGGACATCCAACTCAACAGCCACCAGATAGAGCTTTTCCAGGTGGAGAACAACAGTGTGCCACAGGAACTCAATAGGACTCAAACTGGAAACCTTGTGAATGGCTGCATCTCTGATGACACCTGCCAGGTATGGGCTGTGTGGTGTTTGTGTGTGCAGGGTTCACTGGAGTTGTTATTACACACAAGTCTGACTGTTGCTGATACCAGAAAAAGGAGGTTTCTGATGTGTTGAAGAACACATGGTTCTCTGTGCTCCCACCTCACTCAGTATACTACATATGATTTAAACACTGAGTTTTCTCAAGCTCCCCTGTAGTTTTTGTGCTTTTAGAACTTGGGCAGTGGCTTTTGTGCTGCCCATCTCCACTTTGCTGAGCCCACATGGGTTCCAGACTCCCCTCCCTACCCTGTAATCTTGCCAGCCCCTCCCTTCATCCTGTTCCAGTTGCACAACAACCTCTTCCCCAGGCATCTGCCATTTCAGCAGCAGAGGCTGAAGGAGCTGTGTCCGTGTGCCCTTGGATCAGAGCCTGGCTCTCCTCTGTGCCACGCCTGCCAATGGGGAGGCCTTACCCCCAATCTCGCCCTTCCTACCTATGGCGCTCTGAAGTGTTGTCACAGCTGTGGTGTCAGGGGTGTCCTTCTGGGGACAGAACTTTGGGAGCCTCTTGGGAGCATCACAGTTTGTTTAATCCATTCCTCACCTGTGCTTTTGTGTCTTGTTCTTTGCCAAATTGCTGGATTCCTGTTGGTCAGTGCTGTGCACAGGGGGGAGCAGGAGCTCAGGAGTTTCTTGTACAGAGACCCTTGTGCTTCCCTCAGTGCTCTTGAGTCACTGTTCCATTTCTCTCCTCTCTTGATTCTAATGCTGCTTGTGCTCATCTTCACAACTCTACCAAAGTCTCTTAGACTTCAAGATGAATTGCTCTGCCCCTAAATTCCCCTGTTTTGTTTTTCAGTCTGAGCCATGTCAGAATGGTGGCAGATGCATTGTCACTTGGAATGATTTCCATTGCAGCTGTCCTGCAAATTTCACTGGGAAATTTTGTGAAGAGAAAGTCTGGTGTGAAAGTGACCCATGTCCTGAAGGCACCACCTGCACAGACGTTGTGGCAGGATATGTGTGTAAGTTCTGTTCTCTTGCTTGTGTAAAATCCCCCCGCCCGTTCCCTGTCTATAATCAATGTTCCCAGTTGGTGCTGTTGAAAACAATCCAAACAAATGCTGCAAGGAGGACACGGAGTGGTGCCCGGGTACATGGGCCCAGGCAGCCTGGGCTCTGTGGGCTTGCCCTGGGTGTGACAGAGCACAGCTGAGGAGTAAAAATTGCTGCCTAAGAGCTGGATGTTACTACAGGAGGTGCAGTTGTAAACAGGAAGAGCTTTAAGGCTGCCAGCAGCTCGCCTGTAATCCTGCTCACACTAAGCTTAGGGGTTCTTAGGGAGAGAACCTGCCAGGGGTGTGCCATTGGTCTGGCTCAAACAGGACACCAACTGTCTTTGAAATCCCTCATGCTCTCCCCCTTTATTTACAGGTCTGGCTAATGCAACATTCAATAGTTATGCTGCCATTGAATTTACCACCAACACATCAGTGACCAGAACTCTGAGCAGCCTCCACGTGGAATTCAGAACCAGAGATGAAGATGCCGTTTTGCTTCGGGCTGTGGAAGAGGTGGATTCCCTGCAGGTAGCCATTAGGAATTCCTCCCTGCTTGTTGACATCAGGAGTGGGAACAGCGTCGAGGGCGTGAGCTTCGTGAGCCCGCAGGCGGTCACGGACGGGGCCTGGCACAGCGTGTCCGTGTCCATGGAGGAGCCGGCCGCGCCCTCCTCGCGGTGGCTGCTCCGCTGGGACGGCTCGGTCAACGTGACCCTGCCGGGAAGCGCCGGCAGCCTCGACTTCCTCAAGAACAACGCCTCGGTCGTTGTGGCCGAGAATTTCACCGGCTGCCTGGGCCGGGTGCAGATCGGGGGGCTCTTCCTGCCCTTCCCGCCGCAGCAGCCGTACCCGCAGGCCGAGCAGTTCCTGCGGGCCGGCCCGGGCAGCGCCCGCCTGGGCTGCTCCGGGGCCGACGTGTGCGCCTCCGGCCCCTGCCTCAACGGCGGCACCTGCCAGGACCTGTTCGACGCCTTCGGCTGCGGCTGCAGCGCGGGCTGGGCGGGGCTGCGCTGCGAGGCCAACATCGACGACTGCCAGCCCAGCCCCTGCGTGCACGGGGACTGCGTGGACGCCGTGGCAGATTTCCAGTGCGAGTGCTTCCGCGGCTTCATCGGGAAGAGGTGCGACATCAACGTGGACGACTGCGTGCGGCACCAGTGCCTGAACGGGGCCACCTGCGTGGACGGCGTGTACGGGTACTCGTGCAGGTGCCCCCCGCAGTACTCCGGGCCTCGCTGCGAGTAAGTAAGGGCTGCTTTCACACAGGGCAGGGGAGCCTCCAGATAAACTGCACTTTTACTTTGGGACACTTTGGGAAAATTTTTCATTGCAAGCGTCTTGTAGCAAAGAACCCAAATTCTGCTGTGACTTGGAAGGTGCTGTCCAGGTCCAAACCCTCACTGACAGGGGTTCAGCCTCGTACAGGATAAGGATCCTTCCTTTTGATGTGGTTTTTCCCCATGCTACCTTTCTGAGCTGGTTGAAGGGCACATACTCTGGCCTGTTGTCATTTCCCTCTAGCACTCCCCATGATATCCCATCTTCTCTATGACTTGATTCCCCTTGCCATATTCCTATGCTGATTTAAAACAAAACATCTTGTGCCAGTTCAAATGGAACATGAAGTTAAATACTGACATGGTTGCATTTCAGTTACCTGATCTATCCAGGATGATTTTCCTGTTGTTCCTGCTGCATGCTGGGACAGTTACCTGGTTACTGGCATTATCCTTCCTGGGGCCTGGCTGTACTGTTCCAGCCGTGTCCTGTCCCTGCCTATATTTTCATTAGCAAGAACAGGCCTGTCTGAGTACAGAGAGCTCCTGTCTGTTCCCAGGGCATGATCCAAGGGAATGCTCTGATGTTACAGATGATTTCTGAGACTATTCCCTTTTCCACTTTTGTCAAACTCCTTCCTAGAAACACCAAGCATTGTGTTTATGGCCCCATTCCCCCTGAGCCCCAGAACACTGCCCTTCCCCAGAAGCTGAGTGCTTTAAGGCTGTCCCTTGCTCTCCCCAGGTGGCCGTTCCCCCCTCAGCAGTGTGGCAAGAACTTCACCTGCTTGAACGGTGGCAGGTGCATCACCGAGAGCTGGGGAGCCAACTGCTCCTGCAGGCCTGGCTTCACTGGAAGGAAGTAAGTGCTGCCTCACCCTCCTGCATGGCCCTGTGCTGGTCAAACAGCTGCTCCTGATGGGAACACCAGCTGTTGCTTGGAGCAGAGGGAAGCTTCAGATCATCCAGCTGCCAACAGCAGTTTTTGCAGTGAGAACTGCTTCCAAGGTTTTTCAAGCACACTGGGCTGTGCTGGAGACCCGTGCTGGCCTCAGTCCCATAGAAAACCACAACAGGAGGGTTGGTGTGACCAGGGGAGAATTTCAGGTTGTTTGACTCCAGAGAAAGCACCTGGAGAAGCTGCAATGGGCGCTTTTCAAACAAAAGAGGCTTTTTTAGACTGGATGATCTTGTGTTCTACGGCACAGGAATATATAAGACAATTCTAATACACTCTTCTCTTGCAGCTGTCAAATCAACATAAACGAGTGTGAGCCGAACCCGTGCCAGAACGGGGGCACGTGCCAGGACTCGGAGAACAGATACGAGTGCGTGTGCAGCGCCAGCTTCACCGGCGAGCGCTGCGACATCAACGTAAGCACTGCCTGGCCGGGCACTCTGCCCTGCTAAAGCACAGCTGGGCAACCCTCAGTGGGCTCTTTTCTCTGCAGTGCTGCTGCTTATTGGTCTCCAGCACAGAAATAATTGCAGTAAATGCCCCTCAGTACCTGCATGTGCTGCCATATGGCTTTTGGGGCTGTCTCTCCACATCTCCATAGATTTCACAACTCTTTGGACAGAAATCCAACTCCTGCAGGTTCCTGACCCAGGTTCCTGGAGAGTGGAATTTCATTTGGTGTTTTATCTTGGATAAGAATTACTAAACACCTGCCCTCTGCAAAGATCATCTGAGTAGAAATGGATGTTTGGAGAAGGGAGGTTGGATAAAGTGAGGCCAAGAGTGGTTCAGTCTGTGTGAAAAGCTGAGTGCTGTCCCTGAGCTGCCCATCCTGTGTGCATAACCCAAGTGTTTGGGGTGGGGCTGGGGTCCTTCCTGGGGGAGGTGGGATCCCTACCCCTGCTCTCTCTGTGAAGCTGTTGCATGCACAGGCAGCTTTTTGGGTAACCTGGGAATGTACTAACCCATCCTGCATGGAAAGGGCTCTGTGCCAGGCGGGGTTTGCTGCTGTTGCTGTTACCCAGGGCTCTAATGCACGTGCCAAGGTCACCCTGACATTTCCAGTTTGCATGCACAGACTCCTTCAGGCATCTCTATCTCCTCTGTCCCAGGACATTTCTGTGGATTCCTTGTACTCATTTTCATCACCCTCCCCTTGTTTTTCTTCACTCTTTGCATTCCCTCGCTCCCCCCTGGTGGGGCTGGTGCTCGGTGCCTCCAGGGCCAGCTGGGGCTCAGCTGAGCTCCCTGTGCTCTCTGCTGGGCCCGGCTGGTGCAGGACTAACCCGCATGCTCTGCAACTCACCCTGCCCAGCGCGCGGCTTTGGGCGGCCTCGGGGAACCACCTGCACTCCAGGCTTTAGAAAAGGGCAGGAGGGCGTCCAGATCCCCTGGGAATGTTCCTTCTTTGCTCTTTGACATGAGCACAGACTGAATGGCATCAAAAAACTGTAAATGATCCAGCTTGAATTATTTTGGTTTTAGCTGTAAGGTGGCCGATACCATTGATAGCGATAAGAAATATCTTATTTTTAAACTTACTGCAATTTTAAAACTTCGTTTCGTGACAAAAATTCCACAGTTGTTTTAGTTATGTTGGTGTCTTCCATGCCATCCTTGATTCCACCAGAATTCTCTCCTCAGTACTTGGGCTTTTTATCATCTTCATCTCACATCCATGTCCTGACCTCTTCAACATCTTCCCCTTCCTGCTGCAAGTTCTGCAATTCTGTTTCACAGTTTAACAGCTTAATCAATTCTCTGCTTTGCCATTACAGGCATTAAGGCATCATTGAACTTTTTTAAAGTATCATTCCCCTGCTTGGGGAAATTTTTTTGGGTTACTGAAAATTCACATTACTCTGCATTAATTTTAAAGGTTTTTGGTTTTTTTGTTTGTTTGTTTTTTGTTGTGTTTTTTGTTGTGTGTTTTTTGTTTTTGTTTTGCAACACTGGTGACAACTTTGCCAGTGCCACCTGTGTGTTTTAGTCTGATATTGGTAAGAAGGCACCTTTGAAGACTCGCACTGTAGATGCTGAGTGAAGTGGCATTTACATCTTAAGGTGCTGTCTTGCTGTGAAAAAGTGCTGGTTTTTGCTTTTCTAAAAACCTTTTTCTCTCTACTCCGACCATTTTGGTCAGTTACTGCAGTTGTTGTAACCACTGGGGTTTCATTGTTTCTCCATTAATTTCTTTTACAGAAAGGGACTCCAGGTGCTCTCTTCCCCTCCCCACTAATTGAAGTAGCTGTCCCTGTAGCCTGTGGCTCTGTGCTGCTCCTCAGCATTGCTCTCATATTCATGGTTCTCACGGCGAGGAAGAGGCGCCAGTCCGAGGGGACGTACAGCCCGAGCCAGCAGGAGGTGGCAGGAGCCCGGCTGGAGATGGACAGTGTCCTGAAGGTGCCGCCCGAGGAGCGCCTGATCTAGGCCGTGCCCAGGGCCTGCACCTGGAGCTCTGCAGCCCTGGCAGCAGCAGATGCAGCCCCTCCCCGCTCACCCAGAACGGACATGGCTGGGCTGCTCAGGGCTCCGAGGGAGCCTCTGCCCCTGTGCCCTGCCCCGCGCTGCCCTCGCTCATCTCAGCAGGAGCTGAATGGCTCTGGCTCCTGTCCCCTCCCAGGCAGGAGAGGCACATTCCTCTGCTTCCCAAGGCAGGGTGACCGAGGCACCTGTGCAGGTTCAGCTCCCTGAGTCCCACTCAGGAGCTGGGAGGGTCGTGGCGGGTTTGTGTATTCTGCTCTGGTTTGTCAACAGCTGAAAAACATTCAGCAGACTCTCTCAGCTCAGGTGTGTGAGGTTTTCAGAGTCTTCAACAGCAACAGCAGCTGTGACCTCCCTGTGCCAGCCCTGTGTTACAGGGAATTGTCAGGAATGATCAAAATCCTTGTATCAATCAGTGCTGAATGCCCTGGTGCTGTTAGACATTCCCATGGGTACCGCAGGGAAGGGACAGGCGGGACTGCGGGGGTTTGGGCCGGAGCTGCAGCTGCCACGTGCTGGACTTTGGGTGTGCACGGAGGGGACAGGGGAGCAGGAAAGGCCCCAGCCCCCTGTGCATCCCTGGGCTCCGCGGGACAGGGACAGCGCAGCTGAGGGAGCGCCGGGGGCTGACGGGGGTGAGTTGCGGCTGCGTCCTGGCGGAAGCTCTGAGTAACTGCCTGTTCTACCACAGCAGCGAGTGTGGGCGCACCTCAGCCACTCGTCGGTGGTGGGAGCAGTCGGGGCTGCGGGGGCTGCCCTGCTCCTCGCAGTGGCTGCAGCCACGGCCATTGCCATGAAGAGGAGGAGAGCGACTCAGGGAACCTACAGCCCGAGCCGGCAGGAGAAGGACGGGGCCCGCGTGGAAATGTGGAACGTGATCAAGATGCCCCCGACCGAGCGGCTGATCTGAGCTGGGGTCACGCTGGGGGGGCAGCTCTGCACAGCCTCGGGCACTGCCCGCTGGCACTGCCCGCTGGTGCTGCCCCCTCAGGCTGCTGCCTGCAATCAGCCCGCAGAGCATTCCCAGCAAACTGCTCTGGCAGCCCTGGGGAGCAGAAACGCCCCTGCTGAGGGCCAGGAGGGAGCAGTGGCTGTGGCACAGCGGGGACACGGAACCAGGCCGAAGGTGGGGCTGTGGCACAGCCAGAGCCTGCCGGGCCCCTGCTCCTGCAGGCAGCAGGTCCAGTGACCGGGAATGAAACCACTGCATTCACAAACAACGTGAATAGTAAGGTTTTTTCAACAAGACACATACCTGTGACTCCTCTGCAAGGCTAATCCAGGTGAGTGAGTGCTGGGAATTCCTTCCTAGAGCTGCTGCTGCCCTTCCAGCTGGGCCAGGGCTGCCATGGCAGTAAGTGCCACTGGGCTGAGCTGGACATGGCTGCTGGAGCTTTCCCTGAGACCAGACCAAACCACAGGAATATCTGAAGTGCCTTTCTGATCCTGCGGTGCCAGTTACAGCTTAACTGTTGGGAAAGGAAGACGTTTTCATGTGGGATCCAGCTCCACCACTCCCAAGCAGCTTTGACCATGGAACTGACCCTTGTGAGAGCATCAGGTGGTACCTGCTGGGGTGAGGAGGGGAGAAAGAAAGAGTTCTGGAGGTGACCTCTCTGGACTGACAGGTTTGGGCTTGCTGGTACTGGAGAGTGGAATTTAGTCAGCCAATCTTTTAACCCAAACAAGGGTTGGTGTAAGTGACACAGCTTCTGCTTCCCACTCACTAACAGGGGTTTGATTTTGTGGCTTTGCTTCTCCTGTGTTACTGTTGTAGCTGTTGAATGTGCTGTTTCTTCTTTAGCATAATGTGGCAGAGACTGTGGAAGGAAATGCAGCACAGCAGGCCAGGTAAGGCTTAAAGTCATTAGTGTTTCAGGACAATCACAACAACTATCAATAAGGAATATTTTAGAACAGTGTCTGCTTTTTAATGTCCAAAATACCATTAAAAATCAGGGTGGGAACCTGCCTGCCTTAGCTCATTGCCACAAGAAAACGCTGTTTATTCTGGCCTGCTTTGGGATTATTTTTTCTACTGTAGCTGTAAATATTTCTGTAATTCCAAGCAAAGAGAGGGGTCTGGAACTACTGCTCACATGTGTCTGTGTAAGAACAGGTCTCTGCAACAGGCAGCTGCTGACAGAAAAATGAAAGTTTTAGAAAACAGGAAAAAGCAGGAGTGGGAGACAGACAGTATTTTGTCAGCAAGATCACTTTCCCTCTAGCAGTGGAGAAGAGGCAAAGGTGAGATCCCAGCTGTGTCTGGCAGTGCCAGGGGTGCCCTGGCTGCAGGTGGAGCTGTGGCTGCTTTCCTGTGTTCATCAGCAGTGACTCTGCTGGACTGTTCTGTCCCTGCTTTGCTCAGGGCATTCTCCAGCTGCTCTTTTGGGAGGCCCAGCTCGCTTTGGGAACAGAGGCAGTGGCACTGCCCGGCCCCCCCGTGGCACCGGGGCTTTGGGGCAGCTGAGGGGCTTTTCCTGTGCACAGGAGGCTGCAGGGCAGCAGAGCTGTGCCAGGCCAGTGGGGAGCAGGGGTGGGCACAGCCCTGGGGCCCTGTGCTGCCAGGCAAAGGCCTCGGGGGCTCTGTGCCACCTGTGCCCCCGCACCCCAGGGCAGGCGCTGCTTCTGCCTCGCTGCTGCCTCCCATTGGTGTCTGCACAGAAAGGAGGCAGCAGGAGGATGGAGCAGAGCCCCAGCAGCTGCTGCCACCCCTGCAGGAACAAACGGAGCCCTGGAGCCCGAGCACCCAGAGCCAAGGGGTTCAAATACCCTGTCAGTGTCTTGAGCATTTCTGCAAAATAATTTATGGAAGGTGGTTTTGTTTTATTCAATAATGAACTTAACTTTGTTTTGATATTTAATTTTTGAATATATTTTTTCACAAAACTGGACTTGCTGTAGTTAATGATTATGATCCTGATTTCTTTTTTAATTGTAAATTTTATAATTTGTAAATAATTAGAATGTCCTTCAGAAGAAATTTACAGTAAAATTTGGTTAAAACCAGACCGGGTTGTTGACTTGTGACTGTTTTTCCCCAAAGAACACCTTTCTGTCTGGATGGCTGATCATGGTCTGTGCCACACCCCCTGCACAGCTGCAAACTTTGATTTGTCATGGTTAAAGGATTCATTTTGTGCTGATTTGTCCCAGCCCAGAGCCCTGAGCACAGGCCGGGGTGTGTGTGTCAGAGCTTTGCCCAGCAGCAGGACAGAGCTGCTGAACACCAAGGGGGGAGCTGGGCAAGCTCTGCTCTCTCTCACCTCACTGAGCTGCATTTCACCATCAATCCCGGACTTTGTGGGCAATAACGAGACGGGAATGGGGGGAAAAGGGACTCTGAAGCCTCCACCCAGAGTGAACAAAACACAGAAATGGTTTCACCTCTTGTGCAGCAGCAGATGCACCACAAACTTCGCAGAGGCTTGTCTTGTCTGTTTGTTTTTAAAATAAACTCATTTCTTATGGCAGGAAGCAGCTGTAAATAAGCAAAGCAATACCAAACACAGGGCAAGTACAGGAACATGGAAAAGTCAAGTATAAAGTCACTGATGAGTAAGACCAGGAACACTTTTTATACTGGATTAATAAAAGCTTCCAAATTCCTTCTAGGGCTGAACCAGAACTGGTTCAGATAAACAAACTGTTTATACCTGGCACTATCAGGAATGAATCATGTTAGGCATTCCTGAGTTTAAATAAGGCAAAAAATCCCTAAATGCTGTCCTAGGGATAGTTCAATTCCTACGTTACAAGAAACCCCTAAAAAGGTCTCCGCTTGCAAACCCTGCTCCAGAAATGAGGGAAGTCACAAACCCCTTGTCCTCCTGGATCTCAGAGGTGCTAAATAAAGTGAAGGGTGAATAAATGGGTGTTAATACTCTTCAGTGCCCCACAACCGACTTACCAGATGATCCATAATATGAGCAAAGTAGCCAGAGGTGGAAATGAACTGCATTGGTACAGAATTTCCTGAGAGGTTCGAGGCACCTGTGCTGGGCTCAGTGTGTGGTCACTGTGACATCACTGAGCTCAAACAGGGCCTGTGGAGCCCTGCTGGCACAGGCAGGACTGTCCAGTGCCCTTCACACCCACCATAAGCCAGACAGTTCTATCATCCAGCTCATTGCAAAGGAGCTCTGAAATGCCAGACTGAATAATATATAACATTCTTATTCTGAACTCTATCCTTTATCCAAATAAAATGGAACTGGTATCTTAGACTTTAAATATTTTACTATTCAATACTAAACCCATCTGTCTTTCAACACAAAAAGAAAATACAAATCCAAGTGAATGGCTTGTCAGAGGAACAGCACTGTACAGAAACAGAATATTCCTGGAATACTGTGGTCTTCCCAAAACCGGCAGCATTTCAGATATTTTTCTTTTGTACTGCCCAGACTCGAACACAGAGACAGCCATTCCCATTCCCCAGAGTAAGAAAACTTCCAAGATAACATGAATAAAATAGATACATTGGAAATCAGATAAAGCTTTACAAGAATTTCCCCATGTGTCCAAGATGATTTCCTTTATCAAAGGCTCAATGGTGATGTGATTCCCTCTGCGAGAGTGACAGGTTTTACACCAGAGTGTGCCCAGACACAAACCAAACCAAAGAAGCACCACTGAAGTGAAACAGAAATGATCAGAGACAGCAGCTTTCCCGGGGGTGCTGAGGGCTGTGGGAAATGTCTGCAGAAGCCAGAGGGGGCTCAGAACACCCGGCTGAGCCTCCCCTGCGCTC